GGCATACCGACAACATTTCAATAACTTAATCGGGCATACCGACAACGTTTCAATAACTTAATCGGGCATACCGACAACATTTCAATAACTTAATCGGGCATACCGACAACGTTTCAATAACTTAATCAGGCATACCGACAACATTTCTATAACTTAATTGGGCATACCGACAACGTTTCAATAACTTAATGTTGTGCTTCAGCTACTTATTTCTGTTGAGCTTTCTGTTATTTAACGTGATATTCATATTAAAAAATTGACAGACTTAGCAATTTTAAATATAGCATGTGTTTTATACATATGAGAACATCATATTATTTAAATCTATCCTTTCACAACGCGAGATAATGCTTGTATGAGCTCCTATAAAAAAAAAAAACATTTCTGGGGGAGCCCCCCCATCCCCAAAACTCTCACATGCCCTTCTTCTTAAGCTGCAACACTCGCGTGCTGCTTTCAACACCACATGTGCATATATATATAACAAATGAAATGTAATGTATATATATATTCATTTCAATATTTCGTAGCTATGCATTATCTAAACAAACTGATTAAAATATGTACAATACACAATCAGCTGATTACAACATGTACAATGTACGAACAACTGATTACAAAATGTACAATGTACGAACAACTGATTACAACATCTACAATGTACAATCAGCTGATTACAACATGTTCAATATACAATCAGCTGATTACAACATGTACAATGTACGCACAACTGATTACAACATGTACAATGTACAATCAACTAATTACAACATGTACAATGTACAATCAGCTGTTTACAACATGTACAATGTACAATCAGCTGATTACAACATGTTCAATATACAATCAGCTGATTACAACATGTACAATCAACTGATTACAACATGTACAATGTACAATCAGCTGATTACAACATGTTCAATATACAATCAGCTGATTACAACATGTACAATACACAATCAGCTGATTACAACATGTTCAATGTACGAACAACTGATTACAACATGTGCAATGTACAATCAACTGATTACAACATGTAAAATGTACGAACAACTGATTACAACATGTACAATGTACAATCAGCTGTTTACAACATGTACAATGTACAATCAGCTGTTTACAACATGTACAATGTACAATCAGCTGATTACAACATGTACAATCAACTGATTACAACATGTACAATGTACGAACAACTGATTAAAACATGTACAATGTACGAACAACTGATTACAAAATGTACAATGTACGAACAACTGATTACAACATGTTCAATATACAATCAGCTGATTACAACATGTACAATCAACTGATTTCAACATGTACAATGTACAATCAGCTGATTACAACATGTACAATGTACAATCAACTGATTATAACATGTACAATGTACGAACAACTGATTACAACATGGTCAATGTACAATCAACTGATTACAACATGTTCAATGTAAAATCAGCTGATTACAACATGTTCAATGTACGAACAACTGATTACAACATGTGCAATGTACAATCAACTGATTACAACATGTTCAATGTACAATCAACTGATTACAACATGTTCAATGTACGAACAACTGATTACAACATGTGCAATGTACAATCAACTGATTACAACATGTACACTACACAATCAGCTGATTTATGATTTGATCTGTATATCTGTATCTGTATATTACCTCAGCGGATGCGAGGTGAGCCAGACCGCCTAGCCCCACCCCTGTGCTCCTCCTCTTTTCCCTTAGCTTCCTTTTGTCTTTGGGCAGCTTGCCTTTATGCAGGTGGTTTGGGCGTGTCCTCTTGTCCTTGGTCCGGCTGGTGGGGTTGGATCGGGCTGGAGACTCGTGTTCGTGGATGACCCCCCAGCCAGGAGTATCAGTGTCCTCGTCTAACCTGTTGTCGCGCTCGTAGGGGTCTTCTTCCCTCTCTCGGTCCGTATTCCGCGGGCCAGGATTCAACCCCCGGGCACGCATGTTACGTATTCTACTCTTACGAACACTGATTGCAAAATCCTCTGTATCTAAGCTTTCCTGACTCACAGAACTAGACGCCATGTTGTTATCAGTGAAGGAAGAGACTTTCAGGTAAAGATGTCAAGTGTTTAGCTTAACTCACTCCTGACGCACGTAAAGATCCCGTCGTCATATTTTGCTTATTTTTTGTCTGTCTGGCTACAGTGAGCTGTCAGGCGATCTACTCACACTGCCCTTGTCGACATCGCTTCCGTCATTATACCAGTATACGTAGCACCATATGTATACAGACGGCCTCGTTTTCATTTCGCACCTGAATAGACCATCACAGTGCTAGATTACGTCATTTTCGCCAATATTTCCGTGTCTCGAAAAATAGTACAATAATTAATATTTATTCATCTGTACTATTTTATGAAACCTGGAAGCTATTTACTAAGACAAAATACATATGACCATGACAAGTGTTTCTGTGCTGTGCCTCTAGTCGAGCCGTATATGTGTGCGAATATCGATCGCTGAACACACACGCACGCCACATTCCCTGCGTGGGCGGTTTGTCATCAATGCAGCCCTCACAGGTTCATTCATTGATCAATGTTATAAATTGGAACATTATCATGTGCAACCAAGCAATATATTTTAAGCAGAGGTTTGACACTGACACTCACGAAGATGGTGAGTCTTGACCCCATCTTTCTGTCACAGACATTTTTTTCGGTCCGCAATCTAACATGTTTAACTAAAAGTCTATATCAGTTACTGTAGGTAATGTAAACCTCGACTGGACGACGGAGGCTTTACTCGAACCTCGTGGTTAGTGTCATGACTTAGGTTCAGGGGCGGATCCAGACTTTGTTCAGGTTGGTGTCACCATGCTAGATTTTCAGTTCCATGTCTTGTTGCACAACATTAAGTTTTTCAAGGGTCTCTCTCTAAATATTTTCTTAATTCTTTTCTGCTCGACTTTTTTCTAGTTAAATGCCTGAGTAAAATTAATCATCAATATATAATTATAATTTTGTACATTTATTTTAATTTTCTTAAGAAAAAAATATTCTATAGTTTGGTTTATAGTAAATATAATTATATAATCTATCATGGAGAAATGATGAGCGCTACCAATCAGTGGATCACATGCTTAAGGATGTACACCTCTGAGAAGTCAAAAAACATATTCCTGTATTAAACTTTTTTCTTATATGGATATTTGGAAAAAGGAGTTAATGGCATAGTAGAAAATGCAAAAAAAATATATGTCCGTGTGTTCTTTTTTGTGCTATGATCGGTCAAAGATACCAATTTCACACAACATGTGAATTTAGGTGATTTTTTGGGTTTTGACCATTTGCAGAACAAATTCATACAATTTCTTCCAAGTGTGTTATCAGATATGTATGAATGTTTGTAGAATTGATGAAAATATTATTTTCTTTTAAATTATGGAAGTACAATTTCTTAATCTTATTCTTTTAACTCAGAAAGCCGTAGTTACCCCTACGTGTTTGCTAATAAACTTGATCATAATTTGTTAAATATTACAAAAACCCGTTACACCAGATCAAAACGAGACTTGATCGTGATTGAAACCTCAGAAGAGTACATCCTTAATTCATGGTTTTAATGATGTTTATATCACTTTTTCACAAATCTTCATGATTTGATTAGAAAGCATTGAAATGTGATTTTTAACTTAATGTTATTTTATGCCAGCTAAGAAATGGGGTAAGTAATCTTAATTATGATAAGCATCGTGATCAGCTTATTGATAACTATCAATGTACCTGTGGACATCAGTCTGAGGATGTTCTTCATTACTATAATCATCTACGTCATCATCATATCTACGTATGGTACATCCTTAGTGCTAAAAGGCTGATGTAGTTTTTTCTTTAGCAAGTCTGACTATTTGTACATTTTACAACATTTTCTAAATTCACCTACGTAACCTGCTCTTGTTAAACCAGGTTACCTATCAATGTACTTTATGCGAGTAATTTATTACTGACATCTGAGGCTATTTACATTGCCAGTAGTTAAATGTCTGTATGTGTCAGGGGCGGGTCCAGGTGGGGGCGTAATGGGCGTACGCCCCCCCCCCCCCTTTAAAAATAAATAAAAAAACCCACTATCGTAATCTGCTAATATTGTTTTGAATATGGCAATTTATCATATTCATTAATTAAACACATAAACACCCTGACACTTTAACTATAAAATATACATGCTCCAAGTAAGGAACAGTTACGTTAGTGCATTTCACAATTATTTTGTGTTTTTTGGCAAAAAAAGGTCCAAAAAAATGTTTTTATTCTACTTCCCCTCTTTCAAATATCCTAGAAACGCTCCTGTGTGTGTTAATATTTACTCTGCCAGTAGTTTTATGTTTGTATGTGTGTTACTATTTACACTGCCAGTAGTGATATGTTTGTATGTGTGTTACTATTTACACTGTCTGTAGTTATATGTTTGTATGTGTGTTACTATTTACACTGTTGTTATATGTTTGTATGTGTGTTACTATTTACACTGCCAGTAGTGATATGTGTGTATGTGTGTTACTATTTACACTGCCAGTAGTAATATGTTTGTATGTGTGTTACTATTTACACTGCCAGTAGTGATATGTTTGTATGTGTGTTACTATTTACACTGTCTGTAGTTATATGTTTGTATGTGTGTTACTATTTACACTGCCAGTAGTTATATGTTTGTATGGGTGTTACTATTTATACTGCCATAAAAGGGGTTTAATGATTACTATATCAACTGTCCATCATAATTTATTATTATATAACCTCTATGTGAAACATTAACTGATACCACACGCTGTAACGGGAATAGGAGAAGACTTATATAGGCGTATGCATGTTGTCAAATCCTTTTGGAAAAGAAGAAAATAGTATTTTTATTCTTGCCACTGTAAAGCCTATGGCTACTACGGAGCGATTACTAGTATTAGTATTAGTATATGTAAACCCACGTCTGTATCATGGTTCGCTGATCTATTTAATTGATACTGGTGTGTGTTACAGTGCTCACGCCACACGGAGCTTGGGGGTCACACGATAGACGTAGTATTTATATACTATTGATTTATCATACTAATTAAGGGCCTCTGTAGGTCAGTATTAAAACATAGCGACGATGTCAAAAGTATCCAATAACCAGGAACTTTCTAAAAGTTTCACCAATTCTTCAACATGCTTGACCAACTCTCCAATAAGTTTCACCAACTCTCCAATAAGTTTCACCAATTCTTCAACATGCTTGACCAACTCTCCAATAAGTTTCACCAACTCTCCAATAAGTTTCACCAACTCTTCAACATGCTTGACCAACTCTCCGATAAGTTTCAACAAACTCTTCAATAAATTATCTACTCAGTATATTATCACATTCTAGATTATAACAAAAAAACATTTTTTAGAATAATATAAAATAAAAATCTGGAATGGTGTACTATACATAGAATTCAACACATGCAAAATTCACCAGCCCTGTCCCCTGCTAACCATTGATATAATGGACCAACATTTCGATGTTGCCCCAACGTTCTGTCAACGAATGAAATTTCACATTCGGCAAACGTCAGTACCACGGTGGTCCAATGTCGGGTACGGGTGTCAGTACCACGATAGTCAAATGTCGGGTACGGGAGTCAGTACAACAGTGGTCCAATGTCGGGTACGGGTGTCAGTACCACGGTGGTCCAATGTCGGGTACGGGCGTCAGTACCACGGTGGTCCAATGTCGGGTACTATACGGGCGTCAGTACCACGGTGGTCCAATGTCGGGTACGGACGTTAGTACCACGGTGGTCCAATGTCGGGTACTGGCGTCAGTACCATGGTGGTCCAATGTCGGGCACGGGCGTCAGTACCTCGGTGGTCAGAAGTCGGGAACTGACATCAGTACCTCGGTGGTCAGAAGTCGGGAACTGACATCAGTACCACGGTTGTCAAATGTCAGGTACGGACGTCAGTACCACGCTGGTCAGAAGTCGGGTACAGACGTGAGTTCCTTGGTGGTCAGAAGTCTGATTCGGACGTCAGTACCACGGTGGTCCAGTGTCGGGTACGGACGTCAGTACCACGGTGGTCCAGTGTCGGATACGGACTTCAGTACCACGGTGGTCCAATGTCGGTTATAAACTTCAGTATTTCGGTGGTCCAATGTCGGGTACGGACGTCAGTACCACGGTGGTCCAATGTCGGGTACTGACGTCAGCACCACGGTGGTCCAATATTGGGTACGGGTGTCAGTACCACGGTGGTCCACAGTAAGGTACGGGCGTCAGTAAAACGGTGATCCACTGTAAGGTACGGACTTCAGTACCACGGAGGTCCAATGTTGGTTACGGACGTCAGAACCTCGGTAGTTTAATGTCGGGTACTGGCGTCAGTTCCACGGTGGTCCAATGTCGGGTACATACGTCAGTACCACGGTGGTCAAATGTCGGGTACTGACGTCAGTTCCTCGGTGGTCAAAGGTCAATGTCGGGTACGGACGTCATTACCACGGTGGTCCAATGTCGGCTACGGAAGTCAGTTCCTCGGTGGTCCAATGTATGTTACGGACGTTAATACCACGTTGGTCCAATGTCGGGTACAGACGTCAATACCTCGTTGGTCCAATGTCGGGTACGGACGTCAGTACCACGCTGGTCCAATGTCGGGTAGGGACGTCAGTACTACGGTGGTCCAATGTCGGGTATGGGCGTCAGTACAACAGTGGCCAGAAGTCAGGTACAGAGAATCAGTACCATGGTGATCCAACGTTGGGTACGGACGTCAGTACCACGATAGTCCAATGTCGGTTATAAACTTCAGTACCTCGGTGGTCCAATGTCAGTTACGGACGTCATTACCACGGTGGTCCAATGTCGATTATAATCTTCAGTGCCTCGGTTGTCCTGTGTCGGGTAAGGACGTCAGTACCCTGGTGGTACAACGTCAGGTGCGGACGTCAGTACAACGGTGGCCAAAAGTCAGGTACAGAGGTCAGTACCACGGTGATCTAATGTCGGGTACGGAAGACAGTAAGACGGTGGTCCAATGTCGGGTAGGGACGTCAATACCACGGTGGTCCAATGTCTGGTTCGGCGTCAATACAACAGTGGTCAAATGTCGGCTACGGACGTCAGTACGACGGTGGTCCAATGTCGGGTACGGACGTCAGTACCACGGTGCTCCTATGTCGGGTAGGGATGTCATTAGCACGTTGTTCCAATGTCAGGTACGGACGTAAGTAAAACAGTTGCCAGAACTCGGGTACAGAGTTCAGTACCACGTCGGTCCAATGTTAGCTACGGACGTCAGTACCACGGTGGTCAAATGTCGAGTACAGACGTAAGTACCTCGTTGGTCCAATGTCGGGTACCGACGTCAGTACCATGCTGGTCCAATGTCGGGTAGGGAGGTGAGTACCACGGTGGTCCAATGTCGGGTACGGGCGTCAGTACAACAGTGCCCAGAA